GGGGGGGGGGGGGGGGGGGGGGGGGGGGGGGGGTCCCGTCCGGTGGTCACGGCTGTCCCGTTCCCGGAGGACGGGTCGCGTTAGCGGGGGTTCGGTTCCAGTTCCCGGGGAAGAATCCCGCCTGCGGGTGGGGGGCTCTCACTGTTGGGGGCGGGGGGTCCCCCCGCGGAGCTCACCCCGTCGGGTGCCCCCTGACCGCAGCGTTGGGGGGGACGCGGGGGGTTTGGGGGCTGCGGGGACCTCTTTTACAGGTATCCGGCCCCCCACCCCCGGACCCGGAGCGGCTGCGATGAGGCTCAGGATGATTTCGGCTGCCTCCGTCCTCGTGCTGCTCTTCCTGCCTTCGGAGAGCTGCTCCCCGCTGCAGCCCCGCTGGGAGCCGGCCGCCCCGCGCCCCCCCCATGGACTGTGCCGACCGCGGGGGGCAGCGCCCGGCCCGGACCCCCCCCCGAACCCCGCGTGCGCTGCAGGCAGGGAAGAGACGAGAAGGGAAACCCAACTCTCTCGACCTCACCTTCCATCTTTTGCGCGAGTTTCTCGAGATGTCCCGGGAGGAGAGACTGGCGCAGAAGGCGCTCAGCAATAAGCTGCTGCTGCAGAGTATAGGGAAGTGAGGGGAGGGGTCCCGACGGACGGAGGGGACGAAGCCCGGAGCAGCGAAGCGGGGACCCCCCCCACCCCCACCCCACCTCCCTCGGAACCCCCCCACCCCGCGCGGTGCTCCCGCTGCTGCTGCTGCGCATTAAAGTCTCCCTCGCACCTGCCCCGCTGCGCTGCTGCCCCGCGCTGTGGCGGCGTCGCCTTTCCGTGAGGGGGGGGGGGGGAGGAGGGCTTTCCCTGGGTCCCAAAACACCCGGGCGTGCGCGGGGGGCAAAGGCGATTCCCAGGGCAGGAGTGGGGAACAGGACGGAAGCATCTCACCCTACACTGGGGACCGAGACCACCCCAGCCCCATGGTGCCAAGTGCTCTCTCAGACCCAAATTTTGGATGCCCACATGTGCTCCAATCTCGCTCCCTAGAGCCCCACTCACCCATTCGTGCTGCAGGAACGTGGGGTGTATGTGTGTGTGTGTGTGTGGGGGGGGGGGGGGGGGGGGCGCCCCTGCACAACCCCTGTGCGCGGGTCCACCAGCAGAGCTTGAAATTTCACCCACAAAATGGAAGTATCCCCACTGGGCGGTGCTGGGGATGGGGAAAAGGACATGGGGGGCTGGGGGGCACTGCAGTAGGCACCCATGGGACAGGGGGCACTGAAACGTGTGGGCACACGGACCCAGCTCCAGCTGCTGAAAGGGCCGCGGGCACCACTGAGCCCCCACCATTGCGTTCTCGCTGATCTCAAAGCAATTTCTGCCTCTTGGGGTCACAGACATGGAGAGGGGGGATGAACCGGGGTTTGGGGTGCATCAGAATGGGGCTGAGCACCTGAACCCTGCACCAAGGTGGGGTTTTGCATGGGAACAGGTGGGATCTCTGGGAGACAACGAGGGAAGGGTGCTTGGGGATGAGGGCAGAAATGAAAAGCTCAGGTGATGAGCTGTGAGGAACGCACAGGTAACAGCTCAACCCGTCCTTACTGCAAAGCAGCCAAAGCATGGCTGCGTGCAGCTGTGACTGCTCTGTGCCCACACTCCACACTGCATGGTGTTTCCCAGCCCATGGGAGCAGCGGTCCACGGCAGGCAGCCCTGCACAGCCCAGGGGTGGTGGGAGCCCGTCCTGCAGGAGGGCTGCTGCTCAGCACTGAGGTTTGTGCTGAACAGAGCTCTGAGCATCACGCACTGCTGCAATAACGCACAGCTGCGACAGCTGCCCCAAAGCCATGAGCAAAGAGGCCAAATCACAAAGGGGAAACGGTCAACCCAAAAGAACCAGAGCTCCCCGATAGAAAGCAATTTTAAACGCGCTCCCAGACCCCACGCTGCTGAGCTTCTGCTCCCCTCACCCCCCAAACAACCCCAGCACTCACCCCCAGCTGCCTTTTGGAGGCTGGGTGGGTTCACTTCCACGGGGCTGGAGGGCAGGATGGGAAGGATGCTCTGTGGGATCCTTTCCCCATTCAGCACGTTGTCCAGGGGCAGAGCTGCGGTTGCCCACTTTGAAACAGGAAACAAAGAAGCCATCCTCCAGAATCGGGCTGTTGGTTAAAAAAAGAACAGCAAACACATTAAAAAAACCCAAAACCAAACCAAACAAAAACCAGCAACGGTTGCAAACAAGGTGTTTGCAGGAAGCACTCACCCGGAATGCACCGACAGCCCTTTGCTGCAGCACGCAGCGCTGGTAGCAGGGTGAGCACACGCACAGGGTGCACACAGTGCCCCACACAGCTCTGAACTCCCATCTCAGGAGCACAGAAATATCCCAGCAAACTTCACATAGGCAACTGAGCATCCATGCAACACCTACAGAGCAGCCCTCCTCCCATGCTGCCATCAATTCAGGATCCCAGATACAGAAAAGAACAAAGCCCACACGTAATTCTGCATTGAAAACATTTATTTTACAACAGTGGTTTCAGATAACTTAGCAATCTTTATTTTAGTTTCTATCTGGACATACGATACACAAATTACCATGCTAAAACATAAAATAATTCCTTCTGCTGTAACTGCAGGTATGTACAGGAGCTCAGTAGTATCCAGTGTTACAATCCACGAGGTTCCGACAGCCACATCTACTTACATACAATTCAAAGTATGGTCCTTTAGTAACATAACAAAATATATATATGTCTTTATTATAATTGCTTCTCAGATGCATTTATACTTTGTGGGGGGGGGGGTTTGTAGGTTTTTTTTTTTTGTATTTTTTTTACAGTCTTTTTTCCTTTGCTTTCGGCCACTGGTTCCCCCCCACCCCACAAGCAGCCCCCCACACATCCCCCCCCCCTGCACCCAGCTGTGCCTCTGCACAGATCACCACCTAGCTTCAGTTTTATGCTGTGCAACAGCTCCAAGTCCTACAGATCCCACCTGTGAGCACTACAGACTGAGCCTACAGACCACGCTGCGCCAACGCTCACGTCTCCATGCACCCCAACAAAGAGGGAAGGCTGCTTTTCCCTCTCCAAGCAGGCAGCTCTCCCATTTGTACCACCTGTTTATTTATACAACAGGAGCCTTCCATCACTTCCCCCATCAGTCACAGATCCCATCTGGTTTTCCCTGCAGCTGAAAGGTGGAAGCACAGCTCCGGACGCACAGAACCTGTCTGCCTGTGAGAAGGACTTGGGGCCAAATTCAGTGTTTTACCATCACAGAAAAACAGCAGCAAGGCCTGGGTGCACACCTGGTGTATAAACATGTACATATGTGCATATATACATACATACACACACGATGCTGCAATCCAAAACCTACAGCACAGCTTTGTGAGCCGACTCGCACTTGGTGAGTACGACGCGCTGACAACTGGAAGAGGAAAGAACCCGGTGCAGTTACCTCCAGAGATGGATCTCTCAACCGCTTTTCAAACACCCCACACACCAGCAGCACGAGCCAAAGCTCTTCCAGTGTCGCCCCTGGGTTTCAGCTCCTTCCCTACAGCAAAGCCAGAACGGTGAAGCCCAGCTCCTGTCAAGCAGGCCGGGGCTGAGGGACGTTGGCAGAGCTCAGATGTCGCCCCGTTTGGAAGCCATCGCTGTACAGCATGGTAAGCAACTGCTACAGACCACGAGAACACACCCACATTGCTGGTGGGGGGGGAAAGAGAGCAGAGAAGACAACAGCACTCAAAGAAGAATGGCCATGTTATAGAAGAGCTTCCTCTACACATGCACATATACATAAAACCACCAGAAGTCGCCAGCGTCTATCCTTGAAACAAGGAAATCCACTGCTCACGTTAACGTTGGCATCTTATTTTCAAACACAAGTTTGTCTTCCAGATGTATGGCATTTGGCTTGTGCAAACATAAAAGACAGACAGCTTCCCCAGCAGTTCCCTCTGGCACAGAACACATCCTTCTGGAATGCAAGGAGCATTTCGGTCCCAGCACTGAAGCTCTGAGCACAGCGCATGGAGCAGAACAGGTCCTGCAGGACTTGGGCACTGACAACTCCTGCCGCTGTGTCAGCTAAGAGTTACACTTCTTCCAGGGCATTATAAGCAGCTGTTGGTGTAGCAGAACACTACTAGATGATTTCCACTATAATACAGAGAAGCAGCACCAAACGAGGAAGCAAGTTAAGCTTACACCAACCTTACACTGCACACAGTGGTACTGGGGTTACGTACCAGCGCTCAGATTCTAGGATTAATGCACAGAGACAGCATCTGGAATTAAGAACACGAGGCAGGGGCTGCCCAGTGCCACCAGTCCTGAACCTCCTGTTCAACATCACGTCCAGTTGCAGTGAGTGAGGAGAACCACAGCACCGACACGTCCTAAAGGAGCCCGAAATGTCAGTGACACCAAAGGGCACCGGAGAGACCGTGGGCACCAAGTACGTGAGAACAGAGCAGCTCTCCTGGAGCCCAGTGCTCTGAGACACAGCCTGAAGAAGCACGCGTAGGTCCCTCTACACCACAAGACTTTAAGAATGGGACAGGAATGTATTTTCTGCCAGGCTCCCACCTGTGGACACCCCCATGTGCATTTATGGGCTCCGACACAGAGGGCTGGGAGAAGCCACCCATCCCACAGCACTGCTGCAGGGCAGCTGCTCACACCTCCTCCACACGGCTGCAGGCTGTGTGCAGCCCAGCCCTGCCCAGCATCACACATTACCAACACGATGAGCACTAATATCTAAAGCAGTTTAAAAATATTACAAATTTAAAAGTAAGACTAAAAAGGGAACGTGGCTAGAAAACATCACTGCGTGGTATCAGCAGAAATCTACACCGGATCGGACGCCACTGAGGTTCACTTCAGTTTATATACAGATAAATAATTCAGAATATCCTACACACGTCACTAACTCAATGAAATTGGCATCTAATGCCCTTTGTTTGCTTCAAGTGAGAGTGCAGCTGGGCATCCCCAGCCAGAGCAGCAGCTCCCTCTCCTCCTGGGCCCTGCAGCCTTGCAGAGGGGCTCCTGGGGGCCGTCCTGCACGAGGAGGAGCCGCAGGGCAGTGCCAGGAAAAGTGCTGCCAAGTGGTTCTGTGCACTGGGAGGAGGTTGGGCTGCTGACACGGAGGTCTCAGGCAACTCATAAAACAAAACAAACGACAAACTAACAGGAATGCGACCTACAACAACAACAGAAATCGAAGCTCAAGTTTTAATTCTGGCAACAGGCTGAGCAGAGAGTGGCAGCGCTCAGGTGGAGCTTTGGAAGGAACCATCCTGTGTCCGAGCAGTGAGCAGGGCTTGGTGCCCGCCAGGCTCTGCTGCTTTGCATCTGGCAGCTCCACCAGCCCACACCCCGAGCCACACCACATTTGTTCACCATTATTTCCAGCACAACTTTGTCTTCACTGGGATTAACTTTTGGCCATTTTGAAGTGCAACTCACGTTAGAGCCCGGGATGCTCTTATATCTTATCTACAGCAACACAACCAAGCAGGCATTCACCCATCCCTTATACAGTTCAGGAAGAAGCGCATTAATAACTTTAAACTCAGAGGGTAACGTGGGCAAACAAACCATTTCAAAAGAATCACCTACAAATGTGTTTTCTCCTCATTCCCCTGCGCAGCTCCCCTTGGAGCGCCCAGCACATCATGCTGGCACTAACAGGACAGGCCTCCCTTGCCGTTCACACACCACCCACAGAACAGCTGAAAGGAAGGCAGCAGCTCTTACAGAACTCCAACAGCCCCTTATCCTGGGTATCACCTTTTTCAAGCAGTGCAAAACACGGACAAAGGTGTCACCTCAGCCTCCACATGGCAGCTCTGCTGTCAGCAGTCCCACACAGCTGGTCTGTGCTGCACACCTGGATGGACACAGGGAGCATTACACAGCACACAGGGTTAACTTCCTCCTGCTCGTTCTACCCACCCAACCTCACCAACATGCTCATTTACACGGCCTCAAAGCACTGCCAGCTCCGTTACCAACAACGTGAAGTGACCCATGCAGCCTCTAAGGGCAATTTTAGCCAGTCAGCTCTGAGGGAGGAAGCCTGCAGATGGCTGTGCAGCTCAATATTGAGATGTGGCACCAGGCAAAGCCTACAAGGACAGCCAATGTGATGCTATTCAAGCTTTAAAACTGCTTTCCTTTTTAAGGGGTCAAACAAAAGCTTTAATTAAATAATGACCTCGAGCCAAATAATGCACTGCTGTCCTCAAGGCCACCCAGAGAGAGATTCTGAGTTAGAAGCATCTTCCAGTAATCCTCAGCATTTCAGGACAGAAGGACTACCAGCAAGGAAGGAATCACTAACAAGTGTGCTGCTTCAATCTAGTCAGTAAATTAGGAGTGTTTGGAATCTTTGGAACCTGACGTGGCACCAAAAGCATCCCTTATCTGCAGCAGGCTGACAGGCAGGCAATAAACGTGCTGGTACCCAAGCACACACCTCACAGTGCTCGTGTGCCTTCATGTCACACTTGCTGTGCCCTGCCATGTGCAGCTCATGCAGAGATGGAATGAAAATCTGTTCAGGATGGTTCTCTGGCAGCAGATCCCCCCCTTGTTTCCTGGCTGTTTCCTACAGACTGTCAGAGCTCTTTGCCCCCCTTCCCAAGTAACACCTGTATCTTGTAAAAGAGCAGCATGAAAGACCTCAAATGAAACCTGGGATGGAAGGCTGTGAAAAGCCTCTCCACAGAGACAGGTGACCAACAGGGGAGGGGAGATGGAGGTACAAAGGACAGGAGAGGCATTGTGATAGAAAACAGATAGACGTGATAGATCAAGGTAAGGAGAAGGCAATTAACTGCTAATCATGCCATGTGTAAGCTTACGAGTTGCTGTTCCAGATCCCGACCCCGTATCATTCAAACCAAGGTTATTAATAACAAAATATGCCAGCAATTCAGCAGCTAAAATGCCTATTTAACAGTTAAATCCCAATGAACAGCTGTTTCAAAAGCAGTATTCAAACACGATTTGGCTTCAAAATAGCTCAGGAAACTTTTCAATCGTTTCCCCACCGTTGTTCTGAGGGAAAGAAGAACACTGGTGTAAACAAGTCTAAAGGTAAGACAATGTGCAAATCATACAATAGCAACATAAAAAGTGTTTTGTTCTTAAAAAGCCATTTCAGTACTCCACAGAGATGCTCATGAGAAAATTAAAGGGCTAACATACTACAACAACCTTAAAGAACACCACAGGACACCCCACCTGTCTATCAGTATCTCAGATTGTTAGACAAAAATTAAAACCACAGCAATTATTAACGTTTATGCTGTCACCTACTGCCTGTGTTCTATTCACCTGCTAGTGAAAACCAATTAACCAGTTCCACTTTAACATTCTCACGCAGTCAAAGAAGCTGCACTATTTGGTGTGTAGCATTTCAGGAAAAGGACTGAACTCAAACCAGAACAGCATTGTGCTTGAAGTCCCACTGTCACCACCACTAAACCCATTCACAGCTGCCTTTGTGACAAACCACGCTTTGTGGTCACACCATCACTGCAGATAACCCTCGTGCAGAAAGAGCTGCTGATCAGTTTAATGGTTCCAAGAAACTCTCCCTCCTTGTTTCTCAAGGTGCATTCATTGAAGCTGTAAACCAGCATTAAAAGAGAATTCTAGCTTTGCAGGACTGGCATTTTTTGGTTCTTGGCTTTGTAAACTTGCTTCGTTAGCAATGCAGAAATAGAAGAAGGAATAGGATAATTGGCTTGTTGCACCCAAATACAAATCATGGACTTTCTTTTCAGGGTCTTTGACAGCTTGGCTGTATGAAAGTATGGTGGCTCCTGTGAAACTTGAAGTCTCATTTTAGGCCAGTACCACTGCTTAAAATGCAGAATGTCTCCATCACACGTACTGTGACAACTCAATACATTACACCACAGACATTTAACAGAACTCCATACATGCTATTAAAAAAAAAAAAAGAAAAAAAAGAAAAAAAACAACCAAAAAAAAAAACAAGGGAAGAGAAAGGAAACGTCAGACCGTAGCTAAACTGCTTTACATACTGCATGCTACAGCACTTCAGGTATCATGGAGATACGACACTGAAAGGTGACAAAAGGCTGAAGGGATTACAAAATACTTTCAGCAGGTTGGAAAGCTGCCTTCTAACTGTGGCAGAATTTTTCCCCCTCCCCATTCTCTACTTCTAATGTTCATGATTCTAGTGTTGAGTTGGCCATGTATTTTTTTTTTTTTTTCTTTTTAATCCGTTCTAATTACAGTGTTTCCTTAACTTAATTAAATCCATCAGTGTGGTAGCTAGGGTGAGAGTCAGCTGTGAGCTGGGTTGTCTCTGTGGCTGATGCTGGCTGTATCACAATAGGTGCGTCTGAGGCCTCTGAAAAGCAAAGACAAAAGGCTTAGTATGCCAAGGCAGAGGGAAAAAAAGCAGTGCTGTGTGCTTTGGTAAGCATAAGGTACCTCCCTCTGCAATGCTTTGATAACACCATTGTCAGGGGGTGAGCAACTGCACCCTGCATAAGCTGTGCTTATTCCCACTGTCCTTATTGTTTCTTTTCTTTTTCTCCCCTTTTTCTTTCTTATTAACCCATCCTTATCTCAACCTTGGGCTCTCCAATTCTCCCCGCCCCCCCCCCCCCCATTCTACTGTGGTGGGAGCGAGCAAATGGCTGCAAAGCATTTACCTGCAGCTGGGTTAAACCACAACACCCATTTCCCTGAAGCTGACCTCACCAGGTTCAGTGGAGTTTTCAGCAACTGAATTTCTGGTGCCAGTTACCCACACAACTGTTTCAACTCTTGTGCTACAGTGACTCCCCCTCAGGGACCCGTGCTGATCTGCCTACAGAACAGGCACTGCTCCTCACACAGCACCCTGAGCCCCCAGTCAGGGACTGACACACTGAACACCAGAGGTTTACAGTCCTACAAACCTCGCAGCTGCACTGCTTACCCCTTTCATCTGACTGCAACTGTGCCTCCAAGTCCTCTGGAGAGACGTAGTATTCCTGCTCCTCGCCTTCAGGAGGTTTAGGTTTACACTTCCCACAGCAGCAATTACAGCAGCAACACAGACAGCAGCAGCAGTAGCAGCCTGTGATGAGCCCACAGAACACAAACAAGGCCTGCAGGAGACAGAAAGCAAATTCCCCAAGTGAGAACAAACAGTTTTCAAACGGAGCCCTTGAAGCATTTGAAATGCCAATCCAGAACCATTTCTCTTTGTGCTTCAATTTACCTTTGCCCACCAGCTAGACAGCACGAAGTACGTGTTCACATTTTCTTCTCCAAACTGCTCTGCTACATACAGACCCAGGGAGCCATATTTATCATAAATGTTCCTCTTTGTCGCATCGGTCAATATTGCATGTGCATTATTGATCTCTTTAAATTTTTCTGCTGCCTCTGGATTATCAGGGTTTTTATCAGGATGGTATTTCAGTGCGAGTTTCCTGCCAAAAGCAAAAAAAGAGATTGTAGATTAGATGCTGGGATTTGGGTTCCTGGTTTCGTTTTGTTGGGTTTTTTTCAGTTCTGCTGCTTGTCACTGAAGGGAAACTTCCAAGTGCCAGCTGAGAATCTCTCTCCAAGGACAGTTTGTTCATTGCTCATTCACTTCCCTGTTGATTCCAAAATGCTACAGCACTGTCTAGCTTCACTCACAGGACTGACTTCAGAGTGTTGGACAGGATCCTTGGAAATCCAGTGAAAAAAATTAGGATACTGAAGACAAGAAGAAAGCACTTTGCCCCTCAGCTCCAGCGATTTCCACCAGCAAGTTTTGCTCCTGCTAAAGCAAAGGCCAAGCTAGCAGAAAAGAAACACACCACAAGTCTCAGATACAGCATCAAAGAACAAAGAGAAGCTACAACTCATCTACAGCATCTCAACACAAAAATAGAACAGAAGCACTTGTGGTTAATTCACCAGTTGCTTTGCAGGTACAAGGCACTTCAGTGCAAGGCTGGCTAGAACAGAACCAGCTTCAGGAAATCACAGTGTACCTCCCCACCTCATTCTACATCTCTTTCAACTACATGACAGCAGTTTGCAGTCCCCAGAGATCATTGAATACAGCACAAAAACTCAGATTAAGCACTGATAAATTTGCAAATTCAGACGCAGCCCAAGCAATAGAAGAAATCACTTCTGGCCAGGCATCTCCTGACTGCACGATTGCAGTTTGAGTCATTTGTGCTTCGAAGGAGAAAAATGATTCAGAATGATAGTTCTAATAGTTCTGCACCACCAAAAATGGCAGGTGACCAGCAGGGATGTACCAGCAGAGCCCCGTGTCCGACAGCCACACCGAGAGCCTGCAGACATTTGCACACCACAGCTCCTCAGGAGGGAAATATTCAGATAAATGTACAGTAAGGACTTGTGCAAGCATAGATTTGGGTGCACGCAAACACCACAGCACTCAAACAGTAAAGTGAGCTGCACTTGAAACATTTGTAGGCTGTAAATTATGCTGCTTGGGAAGATAACATTATTCAGGGCTGCCAAAGGTGCCACTGGATCGGAGAAGACTGAGATAACCAGTTTTCATAATTAGAGGGAGGGTATGTCAACTTAAAGAGGACCTAGCTACTACCAGGCTGTGATAGAGAAATACTTTTCATGTCACATTTCCTGCATACACACTGATCCCACAGGCCAGCAAAGGACATTCCAGATCAAATGGAACGAAAACAAGAAGTGGCCACTAAAAGAGCAGAAGAGGCAACAGGATTAGATGAAGCTCCAGGTGTGAATGAGGCAGCTCCTGAATCCCCCTTGAATCCAGCTGTGCCCTTCTCCCCTAGGAGAAAGTCTTCTAGGTTTCCCCCCCCATGAGGTGAAAGTGTTTTTCAGTCCATTGTGCTAGAAGATGATTGCCCCAAATGTGCACTGGAGGACTTGGAGAAGACACAGATAATTCTGGACCAATTTATTCATACGTTTCACTCAGTCATTGCTGGTGGCATAAAAAGTGGCTTTGAAAGGGAAAAGCTTTGGTAAACACTGAAGATTAAAACAAAACTTCTGAAAGGAGCAACCTCAAGTGAAGACGACTGCTGACACCTAGTGAGATGGGAAACACACTGCCACTGCCCAGGTAGTCCCAGCATGGCTGCAGCTCCCTCCTACAGCAAAGAACAGATTGCATGCAGGCAGGTTTGGAGGGAAGGTAGGAAGGAGGTGAGGATGGTTTGTTGTTCATTTAATTAATGGGGAACCGTTCCGTGTGACTAAGAAAAAGGGTTAAGAAAAAATGTTCTTTTAAAAATAACTCCACGGACATTTTCAAGATGTCAAAAGACATTTGGAACGTGGCTTTAGAAAAGAAATCACTGTTGATACCCAGTTTTCACTGTTATTTACATCTTTAATCTATACTTTGCTGTGCCAGAAGTCGAAATGATGGACAGAAGTACAGGACTGCCCACCTGTGGTCTCTAAACCACACGCAGAGCTGCACAACACAAAGGGAGAACTGAATTCTGGTGGCACTGCTATGGCTTTGTTCAATTTTATCTGAAGAGTTTTCAGAGCCACGCGGCACAGTGGAGAATTTCACCTGTTAAATCCCTGCTGTCATCTGCCCCAGCTCTGACACAAGATGCTGTCAGTGACAGTGACATGCAACTCCATGCAACTTCTGTTAAAGCAAACCACACGTTTCTCCTCCGTTTTCTCGCGTGCTTTTCTCACACAGATTTTAAATAAACCAACTGGAGCCTATATATAAACACCTCATCTGTTGAGCACCTCAAGATATTGGTTTTATTGGGTGATACTTGGAAGACTGGAAGCGTTACCTGTATGACTTTTTAATATCATCAGAAGTAGCATTCTTGTCCAGCCCCAGCACATGGTATAGTGACTCTCCAGAGGTAGACAGCGAGCGTTGCCTCTGGTCTGCCATCTTGGACTAACCTGAACAGAGAAATGTCCCTGCCAAAATAAGAAAGAAGAAAAAGATGAGATCAAGAAATGCTTAAACCAGAAAGAGCACAAGGCCTTGAACAAATCAGCCCTGAAACTGGAGGCTTTGGGGTAAGAAACTTATGTGAAAATTCACGTTTTAGGTCTTAATGGGCTTTGAAGAGAAAAGGCTTCTTAACACACGGGAAGTATAAAGGTTGCCAAAATATCAGGGAATTCTCAGCAAAAGCAACAGTTCCCAGCACAGGGCACACAGCCCAATCACTGCTGTATGTACTCAGCTCCACTCTTTAAAAAAAACAAACTCAAAATCAACAGCTGAGCTCCAGCTGTAAGGATCACACACACATCCCTGTTGCTACTGCACTGTCTTTCTCAGTCTCACTGTTATTCACTCCCAATAACACCTACATGAATAATGGACAACAGGCTGCTGTCAGGTGGAGCTGCCTTCTGCACTGCAGAGGTGAACTCAAAGTTCCAACTCCTTAACCTGGGCTTTTATTTGCATTCTCCATTGCATGCATTCCATACATTAAAAGAAAAACCACAACCACCTCCAAAAACCCAAATCTTATAACTGAAACCAGGCACAGCAGAATCTGTTAGCCAAAATCCAGCAGACCTAGGCCAATGCTGCTCTGAGAGAGAGAGAGAACACCTGGCTGCTTTGGGAGGAGGCAATCTCCCCTGTAACAACATCAAGTTGTGAACCAAACATTTAATATACATGCTAGATAAACCCTCCTGCTGGAACTTGACTTAACCTCCTGCTCTACAATCAGACATGCAAGACCCTCGAGGTGTCCCGAGCCATAGGCAGGCATGGTTATGTCCTCTAACATCCTTAGCAGCTTAGCATTTGCCATTCTTTAGCTGCAGAACTGCAGCAAGGATGAGCATTGGAGGGAAGACTATTGGCTATTTTTGGATTATGTCATTACAGTTAGCCCACACCAGATTATACAGACTTTGAAAAAGATATTTAAAGCACCAGACTTTTCTAATTTAACCCTTTATCTTATATAATAAAGCTAATAACTTCGGGTTTCAAAAGGCTAACCTCCAAGAGCTACCCTCAGACCTTGCTTGTTTCACTCCTCAGTTCTTTACATGCTCTCAGAGCACTGATACGCTTCACAAAAATACCAGTTCTGTTTCTGCCAACACACAGCTCTCATCCTTCTTGGACAGGGTGACCAAGGGGCACAGACAGGCAGCACAGCTCCCTGCTCATCTCCGAGCCTACCAGTAACTGCCCAGGTGTAGCAGCTTTAAATCACTTTAACACTGATACCTGCAGCCAGTTTCTTTCGCTGGAAGTGAAGTTCAGCACCTGCTGACCTTGTAAACTCTCATCTAATTTCCTTCGAGAAGTTATTCACAGCTCTGGTAAGTTTAATGAAATGCTATCTAATAAGGAAGCTGATTAATTAATAATGACGATAACAACACTGAAATACATGCAAAATCTGGAAGGCAAATAACGTCTTTTTCTTTTAACAACACAGCATAAAGCTACTGAAAACAACCCACAGAAGAGGAGAGGAAACTTACTAAGAAATAGGGCACCCACAGGAGGCATAGCCCTCAGGGAGCAGCTTCTCACACCAGCAGCCTCCCTGCCCCCTCTGCCTAAGCAGCCCCAGTGCTGAGGTCAAAGACTGCTGATCCTGACGTGGAGCTGGTAATCTACTAATCACAGTGCACAGCTGCCCTGCACTGCCTCTTGCACCCATGGCCAAAACCACCTCCCCTTCCTGACACCCATCCTGGGAATTCTCCCAGGCAGCTCCTGCCATACCCAGCAGCAACCAGCCCAGGGAAGCTTCTCCACCACCCCACCACGGTGCTACCTAGAAGTCTGTTGCTCCATTTAGGCCTAATGAGCTTCCTTCCTAGTCAGCCCAACATGCCCTGGGTGCACAGATGCTGCAGGTCACAGGTACAGTCCCTGTGTTCATTAATCAAACCTCCACCGTAAAACTGGGCCAATGGGTTTGGCAAAAACAAATTCAGCTCGATCCAGCTGTGTCTGTCAGTCTGCAGGCTGCCTGTCAAGAATAAAGGGAGACACAGGAGTAACATTTCCTACCGCTGCAGTTTTTAATCACTTCCATCTGAGAAGTTCAGGGTACCTGGGGGGGTCAGTGCAATGGGATGCCTGCATTTTTAGTGCCAGAATGAAAAGGGCACAGGCAGAAGAACAGAAGACAAGGTGCTAACTGGAATTCATCTGGGAAACTTGTTATTTAAAGGAACAGAATGGTCTTATTACAATGAAGGTAACCTTTGGCTCTTCAAACATGGAACAGGATTAGAAACACAATAAAGCTGCAAGCTTTCTGCATTCAGAACACTCCATAAAACAGGATATTACCTGTCCCACTGCTTCCACAAGTGGCTCTCAATCACAGCACCATAAGCTGCTCTGTGTTTTTAAGGAGGGCTGCATCCAGTAACAAACCATCTGCTGTATGCTCTAAGCAAGCAGGATTCCCTCAAGAGGTTTCTCTCAGAAGGCTCTGAAGAAAGGTAATCCCCCGGATTAAACAGCAGCTTTTAACCATCTGTGTACCAGCACAGCCTGCATCAGCCAACTGTAACAGCAAACACACCTGCTGGCAGCACAGCCACAACGGGGTCATCGGTGCCATCTCAACAGAGAGATTTAGGTTAGGCCTGACTGGTGATCTGAAAACTGGCCTTAGCATCTGACAGACATCAGTGGTAAGCTGGGCCCTTTTATAACCTGAGTTTAAGTAAGAAAAATAGCAAACTGCAATGACAGCAAAGAGAAATGGGAAGTTCCCTGCCATTCTAGGGAATTAATACTCACAGAACATCCAGTCCTGTGACATCACAGAGCATCCAGTGAGCGCCAGCACCAAGGATGACAGCAGGTCAGGCAGCCAAAGGCAGGACTAAAACTTTTAATTTTGGCTTCGTGAGCAGAGAGAATTCTCTAAGAAACTTTGAGTGTTGTTTCCTCAGCATTACACTGCATGTAAATAAGTGGGCTTTATTTTTAAGCTATAAGAAATCCAAAACTACAGCACTCACCTGGTACCTAGTTTGCCTATTCTAAGACAAGCAGTAGCTGCCTCCACACCCCTCTGGAACAGGATCTCCTACAAAAGACAGAACAAAAATAAATCACTTTTTCACTAACTCCTGCTGAGGACCTGTAGCAAAGTTGTCATCATCCCATCAGTTGAACTTAAAGCAGATCAGCACTGAGGCCATCAGGTTATGGGAGCTGTTACAGGCTCACAGCACGGTCAGCTGGCAGCAGGGAGCACATCCTGAGCTCTGTGCACCGCCAGGATGCTCGCAATCACACACTGCCCTGTGACACAAGTCCCAAATAAAGTCAAGATTATTTCTGTTGCCCAAAATGCTTTGTAGTAAATCTCCATGGTGGCACATAGTCAGACGTGATGGGCTGTCAGATGAAGGTACAAATACTTTAAGGTGCAGACCCAGGGGCTGCGTGTTCTATCTGTAGCTTCAGCCTCCGTTCCCAAGCCTCCTACTACACCAAAGACAAACACACAGCTAAAACGAGGCAGCTCTGAGCACAGAAACCATAACAACTGCTATCTGCTCCAGACTCCAGCCTTCTGCACCTTAGGCATTGGTGAAATAGCTGTACTTAAAACAAGAGAAGTGTGTTTTTTAAGTCTCAGTAATCTGTAATGTTGTTAGAGAGAGACTGCTAAAGGAGCTTAGCTGATGTGAGGGACTGCAAGCTGCAGCTGAAGAACCAAGTCTCACTTTAGCATACAAGGAATGGAACCGGAGAGGATCCAGCAGCACAAAGCAGCAGGCAGCCCTTCCAGTGGTTGAGGCACAGCTGCACCAATTGCTGCAGGACGCGTGCAGGTAAGAGGAGAAATGATCTACAAACCATCGATTCCTTGTGTAATCCCTGCCTCTTACATGTGAGGATCAGAAGAAAAGAGGAAAGAAGGCTGACTTATCAGCCGACAGACAGGAAGGCCACCTGAACACAAACTGAGATCAGCAATGGATTGAAGGCACGGCAAGAAGGGTTGTCACACAAACGAAGGGACACGCTCGGGAAAGTTGCCTGTTGTTCCAAGTGTCTCATTGCCCCAGAACCAGCTCCTCTAACCTCATCTGTCCCACAGATTTGGATGCGAGTCAGACAGTTGCTTCTCCTTACAGCAGTGAGCCATCACTCAGACCTGAACGCCTGCCTCTGTCTGCTCCCACCTCTCCCAGAGCTGCTATTATCCAACCATCTCGGGACAGAACTGCCAGCCCCCAGCCCCACACCTTACGCACACTTACAGGTAATTAAAGAATAACATCTAAAGCTGCTCACCACGCCATACCACAGCCAGCTGCAGATGGCCCCTTCTGGCAGCAAGCCCCACCTCCCCACTGCCTGAGCAGGGACAGCATCCACCCTTAACAACCCTGGGGCTACACTGAAACTTGTAACAAACTTAAGGGCAGTGATACCAGTCTTGTTCCCCTAATTAGCTTAGCAGATTAAAATTCAGCCGTGCAAGTCTGAGGGCAGACCTGTTACAAAAACCTGTGACCTTGTACTTACACAAGAGTGAGTTCCAAACACCCTCATGAATCGTTTCCACACCAAAGCATCAGATTCCCATCTTTCATCCCCCCTCCTCACCTACAGTCATTACTCCTTATTTGATTCTTTGTGCCTTCCCTACTTGGGGTTCCTTTGGCAAAACATTATTGTTTATGGCACTACAGTTGTTTATATGGCAGCGTGCAAGTGTCACAATCCACACATGGCTATATAGAAAACAACTGCATCTTACTCAGCTGTGTTAAAGTCTAAGGGAAACCAGCAGTTCTGCCTGCCCACCTTCTCATCACCCTTGCTTCTCTATTAAAAAACCTCTGCAGTGCTTTGAATCACCGACTTCTCATCGCATGCGAGTGCGCTGCAACCCACAGGGCAAAGCACTGCTCGCTGCTGGGGGAGCCATGCCAAAGGCACTGCTCTCCTACAAACAGCAGCACCTGATCTTCGTGGCCTTTTCCAGCCTTACTGACTGTGGTCACACTGATCCGATGACTCTGCTGCTGTCGTTCATGGGGGCAGATGGAGGGGCGCCATGGGAGCAGGTGAGCACGGCGTGAGCAGGGACCAACATTATCCCACAACCACTCCAACCAAACACACCAACCTTCCTATAAAAAGTGACAAATAAAAACACAGACAAAGCAGAAGCAGACAGCAGAACATACACAGCTGAGCTCCCAGATCCAACCACCCCCAGCCATGGCACTCGCAAGAGCAGCTGGAGTGCCTCTGCACAGCACCAGGAACCAATGGAAGCACTCTCTGAAGTTGGATCCCATTTTTTCCTCCTTTGCAGGTAACTACACCATCTCCCTTCCCCATCTAGACAGAAAGAAAGCAGCTTAATTTCTCTCCACGCACTTTTATCTCATGCATCCAACGGGGCCTTCCCTGCCCAAGGAGAGGAGTGCCTGTCACACGTACCCCCAAGCTGTGAGCGCTTCCATCCCAAAGGCTTTGCCTTTAGCCAAGTGGAAAGATCAAGCACCTCCTCCTGCCAGCTGCACTTCACCTCTTCTGCTGGTGCACGGGGAGGAGATGCCATCGTTTCCCCATTTCACTTCTCAAAGAAGCTGCCAAGAGAAATGGATGTGCTCATGTCACCCTGTGACAAGCAGAAAGCACAGGCCTTCTTTATTAGACCAATGAAACAAAGGCAAAGAAGCACCGTGGCTGCGCCATCTTCCAGAGTTAGACATGAAAACCTTAAGGCCCCTTCCAACTGAAGGCAGTTAGTGATTCTATCACCATAAAGGAGGTTAAGAAAAGATTTTTGTTATGAAACCTGAACTGCCCAGCGCTGCCTCCACAACCCAAACTTCTACATAGTGCCATGGCTGGAAAACACAGCGCCATTCCTTCCCTGGAGACACCTGGTTGGTGCTGGGGGGGCACCTCATAATGCAGATCTGTGCCAGTCTGTGCTCAGCTCGCTGCCTCTGCTGGGTTCATCTGGCTCCAAAACGAAGCCCAGCGGTTGGCCAAGAGGCCTTCATCTGAATGGACACTTTCTCATGGGGGATAAACTCGTTGGTATTTTCTAATTATACAGAGCCATTTCATCAACTACAAGATTTATTTTACACTACCTCCCTCCTACAGGCAGCGTGCTGATGGCTCCTGCTGTTATCTCACCCTGCAAACATCCCATCCGCAATCCATGAGATGAGCCATGTCCTCACAGCCCCACTCAGCCTAGCCTATATAAATAAAGACACGAGCCCATCATTTAGGAATAATAAGGGAACTGAGAGGTGCTTGTTCTGCCCATTCCCCCTACCTGGCTGTGACAACAGCAGCAAGGCTCTGTGGCCTCATCCTGCACAGCCAGCATGCAAGGAAAAGCCCCTCCTACATAGAGCATAGATGCACCTACAGTGGTGCAAATGGGATTATAAGCACAGCACCTAAACATGCATGCATGTTATAAACTTTTTTTTTTCCCCACCTGAAGGAACAGAGCAAAGCCAGGAACCTGCCTGCTTTCTGTAGCTGATGCTTCAGCTCCGTGGTGCTGAGTGCTGTTCAAGCAGTGCTGTCCTCACAGTGCAGTGGTTAAGCTCTCCCAGTCCTTACAGGGTTACCATTAAACAGCAGTTTGTACACCCATGCGTTACAGCAGCCTCATAACAGCAAGGAAGGAAGAGTGGAAATCACATCACTGGGAGATAATTCTTAACAGCAAGAGGCTTTGTGCAGAAGATGCCAACGGCACGAAGTCACGGGAAGAAGAGTGGTTGTAAGATAAGGGGCAGGAAATGGGGCAGAGGGATTTGCACCTACAGCACAGCTGGAGGAGACACCGGGTGCAGCATCCGAGGGGCTCTGTGCAGCTGTCATCCCACTGCAGGGCCAGGAGCAGACATGGGGCTGCCCCCATCGCCGTCCTGTCCCACAAACCACGCCGTGTGCTTGGGTAGCTGCAGCCGTTCACCTCTGCTGATTCCATCTGTGTGGCTTTTGTAAGTTAGCAAACAGTGTGTGGAGCAATTTCTGAGCGCTGTGGGGATGAACTCAGGGCGTGCAGAAATCAGGAACTTTGGCAGGCTAGAAAGAAGACTGAGGGGGGTGGTTATTACAGAGAAGTGATATCTCCTATTGCCCAGGCTGAACGTTTCTGCGCTTCGTGCCACTCAGTGCTCAGCGTCTGTCAAACTGAACGCATCATCTTTTCCCAGCAGTAACTTTGGGGCCTCCTAAAAGAACCCATGTGTTGCACCGAGCCCCCAGGATCAGCAGATCAACGTTCTGAAGAAGAGACGCGGTTTGTCACCCGATTCTCTTCCACCACTCAGCCCCATAACGTGCTGCAGTCACACCTGGCCGAGCTGCAGCCTCCCCTGTCACAGACACAGGCAGGTTGGTGTCGAAAGGAAAGCAGCCCTGTAGCTCAGGAGGAGCAAACTGGGAGCAAACCTGGAGCAGCCAAGCCTTGCACTGCGTGCCATGCACTCAGACGGTGGCACAGAAACAATATGAGATCACAAAATATTTCTGAGCATAAACACAATTGCTGAAATATGACTGCCATCACAGTAACAGAAAGTCCTGTAAGAGGAGCAACGACAGATGGAAGGGAAAAGAGTATTTTCATTTGAAATACAGCCAAAATTTCAAAGACTCGGAAAGGGGAAAACAAACAGAGCTGTGCAGGTTTCTACTTTTTGTGCCCTCAGATTATCACTGAGCTCTGGACCTGACTGGGGTTTTTATTGCTGCTCTGGACCTACTGCCTGCAGTTCTTCAGCACAACACAGCAACAATTTAGGAGCAAAAAGACAGTGCTGCAGCATCTCTGCTTCCACTGAAATGCCATGGATGACACTAAGGAGGGAGGCAAGGAAACAAACTCCTTTTTGTTTGCAGAGCGTCTCACCTCCCAGCACTGAGTTATCCCAGAGCAGACCCTGCAACGCCAGCACTGCCAGAAGTTGTCCTGAAGTCCTTTGGGCACCACAGGAAAATTGCTCTTTCAGTCCACTCTGCAATCAATTTCTCTTCCAGTCCAACCTGGGCAATCCCTCTCTTTCCTCCCTCCCAACGCGCACCGTACTTAAATTATTAGAAGCAATTCATTAGTGCAATTGAATTTGGCACCTATTCCTCAGCCACCTTATGCAGGACCTGACCCGTTTTCTACCAGAAGCCAACAGCAAGGCCCAGCCCAAAACCAACAGCTGCCATAAAACTTCCCAATCCTTGTGCTGGAACTGCAGCTGGTGCGATGCTCCCAGACACAAGTGGCCAACAGGACCCACATGAGGACATCAGAACCGCTGCACACCAGTGCACTGCATGCACGAACACATGGCCTTCTGACAGCTGTACTGCAGAGAGCGGCTATTCAGCACACCCAGCAGCATCTCCCACATTAACACCTCCATAAAAGCAAACCCAGAGATAACACTGCCTGCTTTGCTGCTCAGGTCCGGCCCTCACCTCGCTTCCCAAGCAGGAAGCTCCACGGCATCGTGCTGCACCCAGCAATGAAGTCAGCAGCATTGTGTCAGCCAGCAGAGAGGTGTCGATGAGGGATGAGCACAAAGGCAGAGCGCTGCCTCATCCCTCTGCTGCTCCCGGTTCTATGGTGCATCCCCACAGCATCCTGACCGGAATCCTTAATTCCAACACCGCCCAAATAAAGGGAATTATGCTGCATCCGCAGCTTTCTGACTGGAAAGGCTTTCTGGCAATACGTCATTCGTTAATGGCATCGTCACCAAGCAGTCACAAATTACATGTAAAACATCACAGGGAACCACGTAAGGAAGGGGAAGCACAGAGATCCCCCGAGCGATCCTCGATCGCTGCTCACCCGTAACACAAACACTCTGCATTCAGAATTCACCTCTCCAGACCCTCGGCTGTGTTCTGGGGGGTCTCTGCAGCCCCACACCCCAACGCCGCCGCTTCCCCAGCAAAGCAACGCGCGCGCAGGCAGCGGGAGGACGGGATTTCCACCCCCCCGAACACGAGGTTCCCACGGAAAGAGCCACGACGCCCGTAACGATGATGCTTTTTTTCCCCAGCCCCGCATAACGAAGGGATGCTTCACTAATCGCGGCGGCTCGCTGCCCCCCGGGACACCCCGGCCCATCACGGAGCGGCAGCACGGAGATGCACTGCCAACATCCCACCGGGCCCCGCCGCTGCCCGCCCGCCCGCCTCCCCCAGCCCCCAGCCATCCCCGTTCCGTCACAGCCCCTTCAGGCCGCTTCCCCTCAGCCCCACGGCCTCCATTCATCCCCGCGCAGCCCGGGGCTGTTCCCGCTCGCTCCCTCAGCCCCACGGCGGCCCTTCGAGGCTCCGTCCCCCCCCCGGCCCCACAGCCTCTATTGAAATCCCATCCTCCTCGGCCCCGCACAGCCCTTCAGGCCCCACCTCCCCGGGGCACAGCCTCCGTTTGGGCCTCAGCCCCGCGCCCGTACAGCTTACGCCTCAACCCCCCCCTCCCCCACCTCGGGTCGGGCCCAGCGCTACGAAGCGAGGCCCGATCGGCCCGGCGCTCACCTGCGCCCCGCGGAAGGGCGGACGGGCGGGCAGCTGGGGCCGCGCAGCCCCGGGGGGGGGGCGGGGCAGGACACGGCCCGGCGGCTGCGGCTGGCGGCGCAGCGCCCAAAGCGCTCCGCAGCACCGGGACCCGGCGACGCTGAGCACGGGCGGGCGGGCGGGGGAGGGGCCTGCGCGGCGCGCAGCGTGTACGGCGCCTGCGCGCGCTGCCCCGCCCACTTGTCGCCGCGCGAGCACGCGGAGCCCCGCCTCTCCCTGCCGGGAGCGCGCGCGGACGCGGTGGAGCGCGCGGAGAGTTAGCGCGGGATGGAGGGGGTGGAAGGCGGGGCTGCGCGCAGAGGAACGCGCCCTATTGCTGACCCGGGAGAGAAAAGTGGCCCCTACGGGGGGGGAGTGGCAAAAGGCATCTTCCCTGACCGGGAATCGAACCCGGGCCGCGGCGGTGAGAGCGCCGAATCCTAACCACTAGACCACCAGGGAGGGCTGAGAAACTCATTTGTTACCTCTCCCTAAGCCGAAGCACAGAGCCCCGCCAGGTACTTTTTGTAATTAGCTGCTTCTCGGCTTTGCTGTTCATCTGCTCTGTGCTGCCCCGTGGGACAGAACGACCCCGTTCGCTGCAGCCTCCAACCCTCTACTCGAAGCCTCTCCATCTCGTGCTCCTCTGCAAACCACCTTGTATTTAGGTGCGGGTGTTACCCAGCCCCTGCAACGCAGCACGGTTTCCTTCTGATGCCTCAAGTGGCCTGAGAGACGCGCAACGAGCTTTCTCAAACCCTGTCCTTCACCGTGCATGAACCACGGGGGGCAGCGGGGCTCCCTCTGCTGCCCTTCTAAACCTAAGAGCGGCTCCCAGCCCAACTCACACAGCCGTCACTTCGCCTCCACGGGGACCGTTTCAATCGGAGCTTCCAAGCTGCTGATTGATTCCCTGCGGTCCCCAGCTGCACACGTGAGCCAGCACCGCAGCTGCTGCTTCTCCACCTTACATTCCCCCAGCTCCTGCTGTCACTACTCGGGAAGCCCGAGGCACGGGCAGAAAAGGGAGCAATGTGACATCACCTGGTGCAAATGTGGGCCTGCCACTTGAAAATCAGAGCATAAACACTTCTTAATGCATTGCTCCACGAGATGCAGGCAAGGCAGAGGGATGCTCCGTGCCTCATCCCCGCAGGAGGCCAGGACTTCCCTGCCAAGTTCACAGCGCACACCTAAAAACAGACCAGTAGCATTACAAGAAATAAAACACTCACCCCGTTTTCTCCCAAAGGAATGCTTTATTGACAAGATTCCTCAGAATTGATCTGTGCAGAGAAACAGTTCCAGACCCAATCTCCAGCAGCGCCCGTCTCCCCGCTCCTCGCACAGAGGCCAGCCTTGGTCAAACAGGGCAGGCTGGGACACTCCACTCCTACTGCCAGCACATCCGCTGCTACTCACACTCAGGGTCCCCATCAGGAGGGGAGCAGGGGTGGGGAACGTGGGGATTAATCAGCAGAAAAGTGTCAAAACTTGCTTCTCTAAGGAAGGGCCAGGCAGCCCAGTCCCTTCAGGGTGATAAACCACTAAAGCTACCAGATATGTACATAGGCAAGCCTAAAGACCTGAATAAGTCCCACTTGGCCTCTAAGGCACAGAATTGCTCACTCTATATGGAGGTACGTTGCCTAGAATAAGCTCAGGCCTCTGTAAGACAACTCACAACTTATCAGCTCCCAAGCAACGAAGCTGGGCATCAAAAGAGCAAACCATCTGCTCTGGGAACCAGTGAGCTCTGCGACTTTCTGCTGGTTTTGTAAACCAAGGTTGCAGCTGGGGCTTTCAGCTGAAAAACCCACACGGTCACAGTCAGATGTACCAGACGGAGAGGCCCACAGAGAGCAGAGTCCTTCCAGTATAGCATAGTACTGCTAGCAACAGCTTTGTCCTTTTTAAACCTGGCCCCGTTGCTAGCAGCCTTCAGACTTCTTTTCCTCCAAGAACAAAAGCTGAGAAGGGAGAAGCAAGTTTTATACACAGGGCAATAGAGTGCACCACTGAACGTTTACACAAAAACTGGCTCACAAGCATGCTGCTACTACTGAATGATGCAAAACTCCAGTGCTCAATATCCAGCTTTATAATCCTTATAGTCTTCTCTATAGAAAAAAAAAACAAACAAGTAAAGCATAAAGTGATGTAAGGCTTGCAATTCAGTTTCAGAGTCCAAGGGAGCATTTCCCTAATATGATGCCAAAGCTTTTTTTGCTGTTGTTAAGCTTTATTTCTTTAAAGTTCATTGCATTTAAAAATAAAGATCTTAGTTTTGTTAAAGCTAGAGCATTAGTGTAATAACGAGGCAGCTGCTAAGTGAAGTTTCCCTCTTGGAAGCCCAGAAAAACAAGTGTTTGCCCCATTTAACAGACTGCTCCAATGAGAACCAGAGGAAGCAGTAATAGGAGAAGCCTGGGAGATCAGGGAGTAACTGCATGGCAAGCCCTGAACAGAGAACACAGCCAGAAGCTGAAGCTAAGATGCCCCTCCTCTTGGTTTCTCCTCTAACTGCCCTCCTCACACTGCACGTGGCAATTTAACTGTTCCAAGAGACAACAGAAGTGGAAAAATGTTTTTTTTCTACACCAGTGGCATTTCTGAGCTACTTTAGGGAAACTCCATCTTCAGTGCTCTCCCAACAGGATAGCACAGTGATACAATTCATCTACAAACTTTAGTGTAAAATATTATCTGTGTACAAAACTTTGCATTCTCTTTATTTGACTCAGATCCAGCAGCAGTGTCTATGAATGAGTTATGGATCTCTCCAGACTGGCTCTCAGCCCCTTCATGGATTTGAATGTTGTCGCTGTTGTGAAGATTTGGGAGGGAGGAGGCTTGCTCTTGGAGTCGTGCACAGCTGTGCAAAGCCACACTGCAGGTCTAGAAAGGAGCGTTGTCCTGGGGGGGCTTGTCTCCAGCTGAGGGGGACTGGAGGCCATCAGTGCTGTTTTCCCTGCTGCCCACCACTCTGGACTGAAAGGAGAGAAGCTAGTTAGGATAACAAGAAACCAGTACTGAGATTACCAAGCCAATCTCCCTCGTCAAGGTCACCTACCGTACAGCAAAGACTCTGTGCATCTGAGAAGCCATTTGCCTCAACAGCAGTTTACAGAACACTATGGAAATTTAAATTTCTGCTTAAGGCTTCACACTGTACAAGGCAAAGCAGATAGTTACCTTTATGGTCCCAACTCTATCTTCAAATGACTTGAAGGTTGCAGAATTCCTTGAAGAAATAGGAAAACAAATCAGCTCTTAAGTAAACCAAACCACAGTGTGCCTGGGCTCCCTGCCCGTTCCCATGCAATGCCAGAACACCCACCACACTCCCAGGTCCTCACCACGTTAGCCCTTGGCACAAGTGTCTCATGCACACCAGACAAAAAAACCCCACATACAAACTGTGAAGGAAGACATTTCTGCCATGTGCAATCTATTCATAAGCTAAAAAATTGAGGGCAAAACATCCTAGCAGTCTAGGGAATCAATGCATGACACGTAGAGAAGAAACCAGTCCTCAGTCCTTCAACTAAAAGCATGCTTTCTTAAATAATGGAAATGAAAAGCTGACAAGGGTTTGAAAAAAGTCTTCATTTTCCCACCTTGCATCCTGCTGGCAGGAAGGGGAAGGGCCACGTGCCTGAGCTTATGGGCAGTTCTGTTACACAGGTGTGGTCATAACATCAGGAACCCTTATAGAAATCCCAGTGTGATAAATTAATCAGCAAAGAAAGCCAGGTCAGTTGTTTGGCACTGAGAGGTGGCTTCGTTGGTGAATGTTCCCAGGGGAGGGCTGAGCAGAGCGCTCTGCTGGACAGTCATGCAGAGCCTTCTCCCCAGGATAGAATGCATAAGCAGCATGAGCTGGGTGACAATAAGCCTCATCTCAGGCATTTCGATCCAAATCAGCACTTTACATTTCTGCCACAAAATAACATCCGCTGAGCAGGAATGAGGATGAACAGAGAGGGGGGCTTCTGTGGGCCTTGCCCAGCTCTGGTGACTGCTCCTCTTAAAGGATCACCATCTAATGTACCACAAAGGCACTCTGAGAAGGGCACGTAGCTCCCGAGGTGGAGACAGGAGACTTAAGCTAGGATTCAGTATTAGCTGTGCTGTAAATGGCAAGAAAAAGGCTGTAATCCCTCCCTCCCCTTCCTGGAACCTCTGAAAGCTGCAAATTTCAATTCGACTTTGGTACAGTTGCAACACACTTAGTCCAAAAACAATGCAGGTGCTACCAACCATAAAGAGAGATGGAGTAAAAACAAAAACCCCAAATTACTTAAAGCTCGGGGCACAGTTACCCCATCCTCTGAGCAGGGAAGCACTCGCACAAACCAGAACAACAAAGGCAGCCACAGTCTCCCACCAACCCCACTGAGGAACCACGGCTGTGTGTGACATTACCTCATTGCTGGCATACTTATCGAGTGGCGAATGGAGTAACTGCTGCTCGGAAGCATTCAGAATAAGGAGGAAAAGGTTAAATGACAGTTTTAAACAGAAGCCACGCACGAGCAGCACGCCCCTAATCCGGCCCATACACAGGCTGCCAAGGGTGAGCATGGAGCTAAAATCCTTCTTCTCCCCTTCTTGACAATGAGATTATTTAGATATTTAGAAAAGGGTTTTCCAGCTATGCCCAAGACATGAGAGCTCAGGTGCCAATGCTCAACAGCAGAAATTGAAAGCAGGGACAACTGCAGGACAAAAAGGTGCACAACTGGTCTGCCTGTACAGAGCCACTCAAATGAGTGGGTTTTCACTAGTGATGGTTTCTGCCAGCCAGCTGTTCCAATACAAAGCTGACAAAGACAGGAAAAGCACGCAGTAAGCACTGCCAAAAGGTACGCTGAGTTAGGTGCTATCAAACAGCAAGGTGTTAGCAGCTGCTCAGGAGTTAAGAGGAGCCTTCTAGCTGCAGCTGTACCATATGGCAAGAACTGCAAACTGCAACCATGATATAAAAGCCAATTGCCAGGCACTGGATTGAGCTAGGTTTCTCAATCCATGTCAAAAGTGTAGGCGAGGCTCAAATCATCAGCTTCCCCTTTAACGCCTGCAAGGACTTGGCACAGAAACATCTGCTCTGAGAGCAACCTTGGAGATATCTTACCTAAAGGAATGCGAGAAGGGGTGAGCCCTGAGAGAAGCCATTGACAGCAAAAAGAGAAAAAGGAAGCAACAGTCAGGCATTGTGCAGACCTGAATGCTAAATGCAAGGCAGCTGAGCAGGGACACAGTCGCGGGATCACGGCACAGTAGAAGACTCCTCCTTCAGAGGAAGCCTCTCAAAACAAACTAGAGAAGCAAGTGAAAAAACCAATTGCTTTTCATTAACTCACCCCAGACTACGCTTACCCCCCCATTGCTTTTACTTGATTTTTTCCCTTAGAGCCTGTTTTCCTAAGCTAAGGTTTTTACCAAGCACCAGCTGATTTGATAAAAACATTTCCTTCCCCTCTGGGCTGTGGCACAAGGACAGCAGGGCCAGGCTTTCTGGCTGAGACCTCCCATAACGGCGCCTGTGTGTTACCTTGCCAAGCCTGCAGACCTGAGTTACAGCTCAGAGAACAAATAGATCTCAGCGTAATAAAGATAAGAATATCTGGATGAAAGTTATCACGCATACTCAACACCCATTCTTAAAGTGAATCATTTGCCACCACGTTACCAGTTTCCACATCTGATTTTGCAATGCAGCACTGTCTCAGTCTGAAGTTGGAGTAAGCTTTCCTACTGCCACTACTAAGATTTCCAGCATGTTTTGAAGAGGCTTCTCCTTCTAGAAGCAGCATTTTATTCCACTTCAATATCATTTTTGTTTCTGCAGCTGGAAGCAGTCACAGCAAGTTGAATGTGAAGTGCTTGGCAAGGAGCACAAGGGCTTTTCCTTCCAGTCTGAGCAATGACATTAGGCTTTGGGATTTCATTTCCCCCGTATCCAAGTTGGCCCTTTGGCAACACAGACCCCTTGAGACGCTGTCTGTGCGTGAGAAATAAATTAACTTCCTCCTTGCTCTCTGTTAAAGGAGAAGAACACAGATCACACGTCCATGCAGCATGCTGCTCTGCGTGCAATACCACAAGCACTGGTGGGCCTGGAGACTTCTTGGCAGTGACCCTTTTTCCTCCAATCGTAAGGATTTAAAACTTCTGTAAATTCAGGAGTTTGGGAGCTCCACCTTACAATAAACGTGCTTGTAGTATTATAGACAGCAGCGAACTCAGGCACCACAAAATGCACTGGGAGACAAAAGCACAAAGCTTTTATCTGGCAAAAAGAAAACACCTTCAATTTGCAGTTTACTGGGGTCAGTAAAATGCAGGAACGCCTAAAAGCCAGTTTACTTTTCAACTGTAAGTGGAGATAACAGAAAGAGCTGAATTGGCCAGGACTTCCAAAAATCCCACCCATTAACTAAGCTGTTTTCGTTACTTGTGGCAATCTAATAGAGCAACAGCACTAATAAGTACATTTAGTGCATGGTTACTGCGTTCACCTCACGCTCTCTCCTTGCAATTATAACAGCCTTAACATTTAGAAGTATTGTGACCAGAATGCAGGAACTGAAGGTTTAACCCAGGGCCACGTTACTGTACTTCACACCATTTCAGTGCACACATTTCTAATGGAATTACGACTACGCCCTCTGCATATCTAAGGAGATTGCCCATTTATCACACCTTCCTTGTATTTATCAACCGGTGAAGGCTGACTAAACAAGGAAATCCCCTCTGTTATCTCAACACTTCCAGTGCTGGAAAATAAACCTTCGTGGAATGGGAAAAAGCAAGTACAGTAACTGAGGTTGTAGTGTTGGCTGTGAGGCCTGGAACGGAGATTCTTGGAACACAAAGACCATCCCCCAGCAATCAGAGAAGTGATCACAGCAGGATGACAGACTTCACTCTGGAAGCTCTGATTGCATATCAAAACCATGTAAAGTTTCACCTGGGGTAGAAAACGAGCCAGTTCCTGCAGAAGCTTACACTCAGAGCTAAACTTTGTTCAGAATTAGAGATATCGATATAGATATATACAAAGCACATCCTCCTGAAGTAAATTTGGCAGGGATATCCTCAAGAAGCTGCCTCTGTTTCCTCATACATCACCCCAAGTATTATCTATAGAAAGGAATTACATGCTTTGAAATTGGTGACTAATGCTGAGCAACGCCATGGCCGCAATGGCCTGACGTGTGAGCAGTGAGCTGGGCCAGCACACACCAACAGCACGGTGGCTGTGTCAGCCCACCTCCACCACCAGGGCTAAGTTCCACTCCTCGCTCAGCTGTGCATCCCTCCCTCCATCAGCTGGCCCACATGGTGAACTTGTTCTGCCAGTGAAGAGATGCCATGCTGACGAGATTGATCCCGCACATCTTCTGGTGGTAATGCTGGCTGGGAGCTCCCCATTAGATCTAGAGGGTACAGTTCTCATCCCTTTGCCACAACAGCCTGACCAGACTGCAGAATTTAGAAGTTCACTTCACCATTACCAGCTCAGGAAGAGCTATTACCACACCATAACATCTTGCACCAGCGTCTGTCTGCTGATGTCACAAGTGATTACACATAAATATCTTCTTCCCATAAAGAAGGCAACTTCCAGGACAGAAAAATTAAACCTTGAGTACTGGAAGGAGCAGGAAGTCAGCCAGTCCTCTGCCAAATTCAGACAAGTGAGATGCTGAAAACGTTCACCAACATTACCCTCCAGGAACACAGTAAATGAGTCAGTGGGGAGAGATCTAGAACGAACCAGCACTGTGTGATCAGAGGCCAACAAGTTCTTACCACTTGGGTAATCCCAGCCACAGTGGAATAGGAAATTCCCTACAAAGAACAACAGCTACCAATTCAGTCCAAGATCTGGAACACCATATTAAATTCAAGCTCTAAGAATTCTTCTTTAGTCATTTAGGTAGCTTGCAGGTTCAGAATTAACTCTCAGTTCCAAGAAAAGCATCAGCAAGATATTCCACGTGCAAAAATGTGCACAACGCCACCATTAATGGAGAAACAATCTTTAGCTTACATTTCTCCAGACCAGGTAAATCATCAGTTCTAACCTTCAGCTTTTTAACTCCCAGAACCAGAACCCCAGCCAGCAACTGAGGGAATCAGCTCTTAACTTTTCAGCCAAGAGAGTTTTAAATACGCAACTACTTCAGCTGCCATCTGAAGGCATCTAAAGAACCACCAACCAGGAGAAGTCCTTAATATTATCATCTCTTCTGCATCAGCTCATGGCTTCCAAACTACACGACATAACCATGCTCAGAAGGCATGCTGCTCTCCTTCCTAGAAAGCTGACACGTAGGGTTTGTAACTGCATGATAAGCAGCATCCAGACTTTGCTCACTTTAAAGCACAGAATAATAATCCTGTTCTAATCTTAAGCCACAACAGTGAGAAAATACACCTCCACCATACAATAATGAATAGAAAACACAACCCTTAATACTAGTTTCTTATGTATGGTGAAAAAGCTGCAGTGAAACTATGACAGTAAAAGAGGGAAGGGAGCTAAGAACGTTCTGCTGGTTCTGCTAAGCGGAGTCACGCTGTTAAGTGCCTTGAAATGGGTTAAAGACTGGTTTGAGGGGTAAAAAATAAGTGTTTAATCTGTTCTGAACAACGATGTATGGGGCCACACATAAGAAGGTGGTCCATCAACAGCAGAGTGCTGCCAACTAAGCAGAAAAATGGAAAAAAGCCTTGTTATTGTTTAAAGCTTCATTGCTGTTTGAAACCGAGATCAAAGCACCAGAGCACAAAACAGAAACCTTACCTCATGTCCCCAAGTTTCCTGCTGATAACAGAACCTACGTTGGAAAGGGCTGCTGAAGTCTTCTGTCCTGCTTGGGAAAGGGTTTCTTGGGTCTTCTTATAACTAAGTAAAGAAAAAAAACAACCAGTAAGCTGAACTGACAGGGTTAGGCTCTGAAAGTGAAAAGCATCCCCCAGTTTTAAAAAGGAGCCCACGTTAAAGGGAAGAAGCTAGGTTAGTGAGCTGCACTAACTTCACTGAAAGAGCCCCCTCCAGTCTGACATATAGCAGTCTTGAAGTTTTAAGAAAGCAACAAGTGCAGGATTAACCTTTCCATACATAACTTCTGTAGTGTTACCATCTTGATCACAATGTCTTGAATTTGACAGACGGTTGCAAAAAGAAAAAGCCAATTTTTCATGTGGCAACCTTAATATTACAGCATTGTAACCTATTTGCTCTGTTATTTTGGACACTGAGAAAATTAAGTGTAGGAATCAATCCCATAATATGCCCTGAAGAAGCAATAGGTTGTGGTGTCAGGGTATGGAGGATAGAGGCAAGACTAAGATCACTGTACAGAAAAGGAAATGCAAGAATCAGCATAACTCCTATAACCACAGTTCAGAATTAAATTGGCAGAGAAGTTTCCTATCAGTTACCATTAACCACAGTAAACAAGTCTGACAGCTTGCATTTATCAGCTGATTACATTTGAGTTTCTGCAAGTGCTGCAGTCAGACACTTGAGAACCTTTGTTTCCATAAATGAGACCTGCTTTAGGAACAAAGGTTCTTCAAGTCATTTTCTTTAACTGATACACTCTAAGCTATTCCACAGCTGGTGATTAACATCCACATTTAGGGCATTCTTACGAGACTCAGTCTTGAAAACAAGTCCAAAAATGTAAGCCAAGTTTTCTTTATCCAAGCACATCAGCTTGAGATGACTTTTTTGCCCAACTGCTTTTAGCAGAAGGACATTTATAAACAGAACAGAATATCCCAAGTTGGAAAGGAGCCACAGGATCACCAGGTTCAGCTCCTGGATTCACCTCAGCAGCCTACTGTTCCCACCTCTGAGCTCCCAAGGCTCGGAGCCCCATGATGACAGCTGTATCTGCTTCTCATTTGCTCCAAACAAAACAGTGGAAGGCAACATCTTGAACTAGATTCCAGCAGTGCCAACTACATTTGTTTCTTTTGCTTTTTGGTTTTGTTCAAGATCACAGCCACCTATTTCTGAATCAGGAATGCAGTCCCTCTTGCAATAGCTGGGCATGAATCCTGGGGTAAAAGCTTCTTCAGAAGAGGAGCATCTCAGCCCTCCTTCTGCAGTCTGGCTCCCTAAGCCCTGTCACTCACAGCTGACAGGAGACATGGAAGACCTTGTGCTCACTAAAACATGCTGTGCTCACTAAAACAGCCATGCTTACTGCACTGCTTGGCGCTCAATTCTCCCAGATTAGCACTGAGACCAGAGCAGTGATGGGAGGAAGAGTTTACAGAGGACACCATCACACCTCGCACACATTGGAAACTCTTAGCTATTATGTTGAGCTTTAGCAGATGAGAGATTTTCCAACTGCTTTTTCCACACTTGACAGCAGGATTCTTAAGACAATCCAAGATTTAGCACTCAGGTGTTGCTCCTTCCCCCTGAACGTGCTCCTGCATGATGCCAACACAACCGTGAACTGACATGGTGGTTTAGATCAGGGAACCCACCTGGCTGAAACAAATGCTTGGAAAGAAAAATGAAGATAGCAGACATCAGTTCAATCCAGTCCTGCATCCACAGCTCCTACACACAGACACACCTCCACCACTGCAACACACGAGGCAGAGCCAGGAAAGCGCAGCAAAGATGAGAAGCTCCTGAACCCAGAACTGCCATCCATCAGGCAGATGTGTGGAACCGTGTCTGTAAGCAGCAGGGACCAGGCTACAAAAGCCTCCAGTGCAACTGAACAGCGCTCAGCTCTGACCCAGAAGTCACAACTACCCTCCTGCAAGCGACACAGCTGGGTACAGCATCTGTATCAACTCAGTCATTCACTTCCTTCCCTCAAGCACACTGGAATAACCCAAACCTGGGAGCAGTTCAGTATGAGCTTTGTAAACACCTCTCTATACCAACAGGCAGCTGGCTGCAGGAGAAGCTGCAGGAAAGGTCTCTGCCCTGAGGTATGCATTCTGCAGTACTCACACATTTCATTGCATCCCTCTCCTACCAGAGAAGAGCCAGACACAAATCCTCAAATCCTCCTTTATCCCAATACCAGCCTCCTCTCGCTTGCTTTTATCCAACAATCACTGTCTGTACCAATTCAGTCACCTTGCATCCAGTTTACCACAAAACCAAAGCTACAGACAGAGCTGACTGTCTGTCCTTGCCCTACTGCACACAGAGGGCAAGTCAAGCTCCAAGGCCAGAGCAGCAGCCACCAGGAAATCCAGCAGAGCACAAAAGCACATTAAGGTCCCGGGTCAGTCAGGATGCTTGTAAGCTATTAGAGAAGCTCCAAAACAACAGGAAAGAGGATTCATTTACACAACAAACCCAAACCACACAACTGAAAACCTCTTCTTTGGTTCTCTTGAACTTGGCTCCTAGCATTTACCAAGCTTTAGGGAAAGGAAACCGTTCCGTTTCTGAAACACTGCTGGAATTTTACATTTCAAGCCCACTGGTCTCTCTCATTTAATTGGCATCCACCTTGTTAGCATGAATTGCAATGCTGCCTAGTGCCAAAGCAAGCAGGAAAGCTGGCATGCCACAACTATTCAGGCCCTGAGCACACTCCAGAAGCTTGCTTCCGCCACACACTCCTGGTGCTTATTGAGTGCAAGGAAACAGATATAATGAGAAGCTTTCTATTCCAGCAGGCACACCCAGAGAGGAACTCTGATTAAACACCACTGCAGTCAGTCACACTGTTGGTGAGCATAAACACAAGTCACTCTATTTAGCAAGTAAAATAGTGACTATTTACATTTTCTTAATCTAGAAAACATTCACAGAACTTTGAAAATGGAACCTGCATGCATAAGTAGTGTCAAAAAACAAAACAACTGTCACCTACCCTCACCCATCTAATGAAGAAAACCTTCTATTCACAAGCACTGAAAACAAGAGACCAGCCTCAAAGGACTGAATTTCATGCCTACCCCAGCGAATAGGAATATCCTGCTTACCTAAGACCCACCTTACCATGGTTCAATCAGCTCAGAAAGCAACAGCACAACCTACCTGCTTCCACCGCACTACTGTAAAGGATTTCCCCTACATACAATGAGAAGGATGAAGGCCAACTTCTGTAACACGCTTCTGTAATTCAGCCCAGATGAGAATTTAATTCCAGACACTTAATAAAAACATAGTTAAGAGACTTTTGCAGCCAATGAATGCAGTACAACAGCTGTGAGGTTTAAGCTGTTCACATCCCTTTGGAGCCTTAAAATGTCAGAGCAGCTGCCTTGGACACGAAAGCTTCATTTGTTCTCATCAGGTACCACAGGTAAAAGAAGAGCACAGAGCGTGCTGAGGGGTGAAAAGAAGAGATCAGGCAGACTATTGCACAGCTCATCAGTTGAAGTTACAAAACCTGGCATGCAGCTCAGGTACCCAGTGGCTTCAGCCAGTTCTCCAAGAGCAGGCAGCTGTTTGAAGAGCATCACCTGAACCACAGTGAAACCATTCAAAGACTGACCTGAAAAAAAAAAAAAGCGCTCCCTCTCTCAGAATAGACTTTTATTAGGGTAAAAAAAGTGAAAGCTGGAAGAAAGAAATGCTTAAATGGATGTAGTGAAAGGACAGGACTGCGAGCAGGGGCACAGAGCATTAGTGGTAGCAGACTGTCATGAAGGCATTTGTTAACGCTGAAGGTTAAGACACTCACGCTTCTGATTGAGTTAATTTCTCATTCCAGTCCTCCAGAGTGCTGCTGGCTGAAAGATATCTACAAACACAATGGAGGTTAGATACAGGTACAGTGCCAAGATTCACGACTGATGCTTCTTCTGACCGCTGTCTTGCTGACTTCCCACATTAGTGTCTCTTTACACTGACAGCACTGCAGGTTTCATTTCTCTGATAACAGCCTTCCCCCTTCTCTGTTACAGACAGAAGAAAAGGAGCTGTTGTTTGAGAGGCAGGAAGACACCCCAGCTCTGGCTTCTTTCTTATCCAAACACCTCCAAACACTGTGCAAAAGGAAAGTCTGCAGTTTTGAAGGCGTTGGGAACTGAAAGACTTCAAACCTTCTGCTCCCTTCATAAATTCAGCATGGGCAACCAAACACCAAAAGTTAAAAGCAAGCAACAGAGAATTGAGCACAGTGCCAAGAAATCTGACTGCCATCCCCACAGCTGCATTTTACCTGTAGAGGATGAACTGGACAAACTGTTACAATGCACTTCATTCTCTCATCTTTAGAAATCACGTTATAACAAAGTATCTTTGGGATTGTGAGAATTAACACTGAATGTACAGAAGAAGTGCTATGAAAGCATCTGCTGCCACATGTAAAAGTGCTCAGAGGAGGTACATTGCAGGCAGTTCCTGTTGACCATGGAAAATAACTATGCCTAGTCAGATCAGAACTGCTGACAGGAAGCTTCTAACTCACATTCTCTCAGCTAAATAATCACTTTCTTAAGCACAAAATGCAGAATGGGGAGAATCCCCAGCACAGCAAACAGTCAAGGTCTCCTTTATGTTCAGTTATGTAAGAATCAAAGTGATTTATGACTAAGGAAGAGAGGTCTAACATGACTAAAGAATACATTCTAGAGACAAAAGCAGGCAGCAACATTTAGCACCTGCTTGTATATATTGCAAAGACTAAAATGAATTGCTTTCTAGTGTTGGACAGCATTCAGAAAGGTTCACATGCATCAATCAGTCACAGCATGGCAGCTTTCAAAGCCTCCTGTACACGTTTACATTTGCAAAGCCCCTGTTTTCAGCTATGGCCTTCAGGCATCCTATTTCCACTGTGGCCAAACAGAGAGGTAATATTCAAACTGAAACCTACCACATCTGATGAGAAAAGAAATAATTTCACAGTAAAGACAGAAGTTCACTGGTAAGATACCTAATCACAACAGATCAGTCCAACAGTGATCAGTTAAAGTGAGACTGTGGTTGATTTCTTCCGTTATTTTTTAATCAAATGTGGTTTGGTAACTGATTGGAATTTTTCTTCAGCAGTGGCAAGACTATAAGAAAGATGATAGCAGTAACTTTTACTCATCTCCTCTGCAACTGAGGAGTGCTTATAGCTGGATGTCAGGCATGCTGCTAAGAACAGAGCTCTGCTGCGCCTCCAGCTCCCAATCAACCCCTGATGCCTGTGAGAACAAGGAGCAGCACAAATGGGGAATGCAGCAAGGAGCACGAAGGTGCTGCTGAGCAGCCCGAAGGAACTCACAAGTCAGACTGTGTCACTTTGTCATTCCACTCTCCAAGTTTCTCAGATGTTCTCACATAACTAGAAACAGAAAGTGTTAATGAATATAACTCCAAATATTCATTCCTAGAAGACAACGACACATTTCAGTTACAAAGTAGTAACAGAAATCCAACGGGGGATAGGAGGGAAGATGGGGAAAAGAATGAGCAGTGAAATGAACAGCTGAAGACCTGCCCTGCCGACGTGATGGCAGTAACTCCAAATTCCATTTCAGTTGCACATGGCTTTTTAGACTGAATTATATCCCTCTGGGTACCCAAGGACCCTTTACATCAGGCAGCTGTGCTCAGATTTACCCCACTCTCCTTTTGGCACTGTCAGACAGTGCAGCAGTCACACACTTCGTACCTGTTTAGAAATGGTCTTAATTTCAAACCCTGTTTAGGCACAGATGCCCCTGCATATGGCATTCATAGCAGACTAATGATACAGACTTTTTTTCCCTAGGAAGTGCAGGCTTTTTAATTCAAGGCACACAGCCCAGGAAGCAGTTTTCGAACTAACATACAGCTAACATTCTCAACTAGCACCATGCATTACTGAGTGAGCTCTGGCATTTTTTGCACTTCTCTTTGAGCTCGAGCTCAGAACGAGGCAGCAGCAGTCTGCCTCTCAGAGAAATGGGAAGACAAACTGAGCTGTTGAGTAGTGAGCAAGCCTTTCACATCGTGCAAGAGAGCATCCAGCAACAAAGCATTCAGACCACAGATACGAAAATCCTTTAAGCTGACACAAGATCCATTCAGTTCACTGCTTTTTAAAACCATCTTTTACTCTATGTACCTATCACAGCAAAACCCTCCAGCCAGTTGGAAAAGCTCTGCAACAAGCTGCAGGGAAATAACTGCTGCAGTCCCTTCTCCATGTGAAACACACATCACAAGCAACACTTACGCGTTGGAGACCTGCACGTCATGCCAGCTCTTAGACAGGTTTTGCTTCAACCCATCCAAGGGAGTCAAACCCAGCTTCCTCTTCAGCTCTCCACAGTGCCTCTCTTTAGCAGCCAGAACTTGTCTGAGAGTACCAATTTCTTCTTCAACCTTGGAAAGAGACAGAAGCACATCTCAATACCACGCTTTGCTACGATTCTGGGAATTAAGCCAACTTTCTGCCTTCCTGAAAACTAGCACAATTCCATTAACACGAATGTAAGGAACTGGTAGGAACTTGAGGTGCACGCAGCAATTCAACTACACATCAGTGGTGCTGGAACAGTGGCTCAGATTTCAGCTAGAAAAACATATAAGAAGCCATTGCACTGGTGTTTCAATGGCACTAAAAGAACTCATTCCCTGCACTGTAATTTCAACAGTAGATACCATCTAAAAAAAATAAGTTACCAAATACTCATTTAACTGAGGTTTCAATCTTATGATCGTTTTCCTCTGATGTCATTAGAACAAAGAGCTTTTCCTCAGAGATCTTTCTTACCAGATTTTCAGAATACTCTGGAGCAGTTTCAGAGCAGAGAGAATTCATTCCTACTTCTTAATTAAAGTTTACCAAGGCCTGCACGGCCATTCAGAACAGTGAAAACCTCCCTTGCTAAAACATGCAAAGCAGAGAACCAGCATGAGATTATCAAGTGTAGGAAAGAACAACCAAAACTACCTTCAGCTATATTACACATACAAATTATAAACTGAACTTTAAAACCCAGAGGGTGCCTAAAATTTGAGGTCTTACATTACAAGCTCTCAGCTTTAGAAAAGCATAAAGGAATCTAAAACAGCAGCCCATAAAATGTGATAAATATTTAATAAAAACAGGCTGAAGAAGAAAGCACCTTAAGTACCCCATTGTTTCAGCTTCCTAAGGAAAAAGGAGTTGTTTGCATACCGCTCACCTAAAGTGCTGTTTTCCTGCTTAGAGCAGAACTAAGAGCCTAAATTAAGCCAATTATTTCTTTAGGGCTCCACATTAAGCAGTTCTGTGCACGAGCAGGCAGTCTGAAATACCTGCCAGCTCTGTGCATTTAGCAAAGAATGCAGAGATCCGCAGGCAACACCACTGCAAGTTCTTTCTTTACTATGACAGTGGTGAGGTGCTGGAACAGCTGCCCAGAGAGGCTGTGAATGCCCCATCCCTGAAGGCTTTCAAGGCCAGATTGGATGGGACCTTGGGCAGCGTAGTCTGATATTAAACATGGAGGCTGGTGGCCCTGCACGTGGCAGGGGGTTGGAGATCCATGATCCTGACCATTTCTGTGATAAGAACCAAAAAATGCATCCACCAAACCCTCATTTTTCCTCCCAGCAGGGCAGGATCCCAGGCTCAGGTTTTACCTTGGCGATCTCAGCCCTCAGCTCCTCCTCCTCAGCAGCACTCAGCCCCTCGGGCGCTGCCGTCCTCGCCGCTGCCGCGCCGTCCACAGGAACGTCCATCATGGCATCCGACAGCAGACCTTTGTTGGGAGAGTTAAGGTTGATATCTGTCACAGACGAGAAGCACAGGGCACACATAGTGAGCAGCCAGCAAGCGAAGCACGATATGCAAACCTTGAGGGGAAAGGTGAAACACAGGGCCCTGTGCTCGCAGACAAAAAAAGGAACAGAAACCCTCAGCCGAATTCCCCGAGCCCGCACAGAACAGAAGCGCCGCGCTCCGCAGACCGAGCAGAGCGGCTATCGCACAGCGCCGGCCCGACGGAGGGGAAGAGCCGCCTCCGAGCGCCCGCCCGGCAGCCCGCACAGCCTGCCCGTGGCGGAGCTCCCCGAGGCCCGGCCCGTTCCCCCAGCGGCTCCTCGAGCACCGCCGCCCCCCTCGCGCGTCCCCGCCCCGAAGCGCGGCCGCCCCTACCCTGACCCGCGCTCTCCATGGCGGCGCCCCGACCCCGTTCAGCCGCCGCCAGCATTGCCCTGTGACGCAATCACCCCGCGCCGCCCGCTTCCGGGAGATGCGGTGAGAGATGACGTCACTCGCTGCGTCGCTACGGCAACGGCGCCACGTTCCTCCCTCCCCGCCTTTCCTCGGCCGCCGCCTTCCGCCAGCGGAAACGGCGGCGGGTGACGTCAACGAGAAGGGGATGAAGTGGCGTCACAGGGGCGGAGGGTTCGGAGCGGCGGTGCTGTGCGGGCGGCTGGAGGGAAGGGGGCAGCAGCGGCACGGCCTTGGCATGGCGTGGCTTTGGCCTGGTGCGGCGCGGCCCGCAGCACCCAGGGCCCCGCTCCGCTCCGCTCGGTACAACCTCCCCTGGCGCAGCTCCACGCCGTTCCCTCAGGCCCTGCCGTTATCACAGAAAGCAGAGCTCAGCGCTGCCCCTCCGCTCCCCTGGAGGAGCTGCAGTGCCTCTCGGCCCCCTGTGAGCCAAATGAACCCAGGGACCACAGCTCTGGATGCCTCCCGTTCCCAACGCGGGGATTTCTTGCAGGGAGCCGCCCACCTGCTGTGAGCAGCACTGAAACTGGGAAGCGATAGCAGGGACAACACGCGGCCAGCGCTCCTTGCAGCCCGCAGCTCTTTGCCTTCTGCTTTCGCTGTCTGTGGGGCTGCTGGTAGGCTTGGAACCAAAACCCCCCAGCTGTGTCAATGGGGGTTCTGGCCTGCTTTGGGGAAGCCCTCAGCCATGTGCTGGAGAAGCCCTGGGTAGCTCCACTGATAGAAATCCTGCAGCTCACCCCGATAAAAACCCCACTTAGCTCTAATTGTGTCACCAGCTACTTTCATCTCCAGAGCTGTTTCTACCTGGTCTATTTTCATTGCCCAAGACGAGCGTGAAAAGGGAAGCGAATATAAATGGGGAAACGTGCATTAATTTTTCAGAGCTGTTTCCAACAGCACATGCTGCATCTGAGCAAAGGGTTTGCAATTAGCATTGGTGAGAGCTGCTGGAAACACCCAGTGAGGGCTGAGCAGGTCATCCTAGACCCACATCACAAAGCACCCGGCCACCCTGACTGCTTCCTTTTGCTGCAAAGAACAGGGAGCACCACGAGAGCTCACTCCTTTATTGCTGTTTTTAATGTAGGGGGGTTATACAGAGTCTGGCACTACTCTGGTTTCAAAGCTGGGCTCTGTGGAAATCCAAGTGTTGAACCCACATGGAAATCCGGAGCAGAAGCAGCAGGAGGCGCAGGGCCTGGCTCACAGGGAGAGCTGCAACAGCTCTGCCAGGAACAAAAACCCAATTCAGCTCCAGTCCTACTGCTGCCAGCATCAGGGTGTGCCTCCACGGGAAGCACCACATTGCCCTCCCAGCACCCGCTGCTCCCACTGCTAATTTTGCTGTACCTTCAAGCGCTGGATTTTAATTAAACATATTCCAGTGCCAATTCGAGTCTCCATCCCAAGCCTTGCATGCGTATTGGGGTGGGGAAATAGAGAGCAACCCTGCATTTGGAGTGGGGAAAAAACTCCTTGTTCCAGGATCACTGCTGCTGTTCAAAGCGACTGTGGGGGCCAGGATGTGGGGCAGGGCAGGAATTTGGGGCAGCAGGCAGCATGCTGGATTCCCTGTAACAGGGGCTGAGGCTGGCTCTGGCTGCTGTCATCCCCAAGCTGCCAACAGAGCTTTCCTGAGGTTTCAGGCACAGCTTATGCCCTCCCTGCTGCCCCCAGTTCTCCTTTTGCTGCTGGGACTTTCACTCTCTTGGGGGTTTTCTTTTGAAATGTCAGCCTGGAGTCAGTTCCCATCACTGATGCCCCCTCTGAGCTGCTTTGGCTCCCACACAGAGGCAGTGGGGAGGGATGTGGATGGCTGTGACGGCTGCAGGGATGTCATGTTTGGGGGGCAAGCAGCATCAGCCCTGTGCCTGGGCACCTCTCTGTGTCACAGCAAGGACACGTCCCCTGTAGCATGTTGCCCACAGCTCCCGAGTCACAAAACACAGCTGTTTCCCAGCAAAGCCAGAAGCTGTGGCCAGCCCTGCAAAGGGAACTGCGTCCCAAGGCTCTCGCCATTCCTGTTTGCCCCAATCCTGGACACCCCAGGAGGGCACGGACATTTCCCGGCTGTTCCGTGCTCAGGCAGGCGCTGCAGCTCTGCTGCTTCATTTGGAAGCTGACACAAGCTGGGCTCTGTGCCCCTTTTAGAGAAAGCCCTGACCTAGATTTCACTGCCCACTGCAAAGCTGTAGCTGTCGCTCCTCCCTGCAGCTGGAAAGGGCCCAGTGGAGCAGTCCTGGCTCGCGCTTGTTAAGCTGGTGGCTATTAGCCCTGCAGGGAACGAGCCTGCACAGGCTGATGGGCCCCCGTCACATTTTGCTCCTGTTTCCCAGGCACAAGGCACTGCTAGAGCTCACTGCTCTGCAGGAGGCCACCCTGATGTTGCAGTGAAGCTCTTGGCCCCCCCTGCTCTCCCCGTAGCCACGTCCCCATCCATCCATCCTTCCATCCATCCGTTAATCCAACGACTGGTACTCCCACCCACCCATCCATCTGTCCCTGTGTCCATCTGCCCATCCATCCATGTGTTCTCCCACTCTTCCATCCACTCACACACCAGGAGCAGAGCAGGTGCTACCATGCTGTCCCCATGTCCCCACTGCAGCTCCCCGGCAATCTGTCCCACTTGGCCTCCTTTTTGGCCACAGTCCTTCCTTGGTTGGCTCTAAGCTGCTTGCTATCCCCCATACCAGGCTGGCATTTACATGGGTGCATTAACCATGCATCTAAAAAAGCCCCGGAGTGCTTCAGGTGGGAGAGATCTGCATCCTTCAGCCCATCTTTGGCAGCACTGGGGCCATGGGCTGGCAGTGATGGTGACATTCCTCTTTCCCAAACCAACCCCTGTCCCTTCGCCCTGCCATCACCGTGTGCTGCCTTCCTCTTTTCTCAGCACCCGAAATAACCCCGGGGCCGCAGCAGGGGGCTGCCAGAGGTGACACTTCCTCTTTCTGAAACATCACTGGGGAAGGGATGGGGTGGGGGGGGATGCAGGCACGGCTGGATCCCGATTTTCCCTGCTGTGTTGGGAACCCCCAGCTGGCAGCCAGGCTGTCCCATCGGATCCCCCTTGCTTCTGAACATTGAGCTTCTCCCTGATCCCGTAGAAGGAGTGCAGGACAGGGCTAGAAACAGGTTTTAGCTTCTCTCTTCTGAGGCTAGTTTCACACCTCCTCCGGGAAACAGAGCCTTAATTTCTGCCCCCTTATCATGGCTCATGTGGCTGCCCTCAGCCCCAAAACAGCCCTGGGGCTGCATGGGGATTGCCTGAGCACTATGTCCCCACTATGGGTTTTCTCCCTTTTCCCCACCACGTCACACTTTCAACTACTTCACACCACTCCACCCCCAGCACTGGGAATTCCCCTGACAGCATTTGGGGCAACACTGCAGTGGGGATTGCCCCTCTCCAGCTCTACAGAGTCAGCCCTGGAGTCCCCACTCCTGCTGTCCCTTGTTCCACAGTCCTTGTACACCCACAGGGCTCTGCTCGCCATTGGCACCATGCACTGCCATGGGGCAGTGGGCAGCTGAAGGATGGAATGTACTCCCATGGTTGCACCGCGTGCCCAGGACCTCACAGGGCAGAGCATCATGGCCAGCCCTGCAGCATCCCATTGGGACATAGGCTGGAAATCCACTCCTCCCCTCTTCTGCCTGATTTCCCCTGCTCTGCTCTCCCAGGGCTGTGTCCCATCCCTCTCACCTCACCCTGGGACCCATCCGGTACCATCTGCTGCCTGCAAACCCTCTGCTCCCTAAGCTGCTCTAATCCCTCGGATCCTATCTGTGTCGTGGTGCGAGCTGGCAGCCCCGGGCATCTCCCCCAGGGTTGTGGGGATGAGAACCCAGGGGTTTGGTGACGTTGCCCCACCAGTGGTGAGGGAGTGGTGATGGAAAACGCAGAATGCAGGATTGATGCAAAATGCAGAATGGATGCATTTTGGTTCTATGTGGTTTTCCAAGACAAGAAAGAGGGATAAAATGTGCCCAGAGCCTCTCCAGCTGCTCCCCACTCCCTGCCCAGTCACAGGGTGAGCTGTGTGCCCCCAGCAGCAGAACACAACCCCCAGAATGTGGCTTGGCAGGAGAAGAAAGGGGGCAGGGGAGTGGTGTGGGACCAGGGGGGGCCTTCCTGGAGGGTGTGGGGTGGGAGGAAGTGCTGCAGACAGCTGCACAACATCTGGCAGCACTCGGCCCCCCGGGATCCCAAGGTTGCCGAGCGGGCTTCCTGCCCCCCCACTGCCAGATGTGCCCCCTGCATCCCACCCTTCCCTCCAGGCCGTGCCCCACACCTGTGTCCCATTCTGCCCCACTGCTCCCATGTCCTCCTGGCCCCACAACGCCCATGGGAAAGGCGGCCCCATCACCTCCACCACCTCCATCCTTCCATCCTGGAAAACCCACCCACAGGAGCCACGGCCCCAATTCAGAACTGGTTATGGCTGTGGGGTTTGGCCATGGCCCCGTGACTGGGATATGGGCTTTGGCCATGGTGTGGGGAGCGCAGACTGCCAGCCCTGCCCACCAGCAGCCCCACAGCGTATGGCTGGATGGTCCCTGACCCCGATCCCATGGGGCCTGACCCTGCAGAGCTCCGGGTGAGGTTGGAAGGAAGGGATGAGCCCCAGGCAGCAAAAATAGCCTCTGTCCTTCAGGATCGCTTCATGGGATTAAAAATAGCAGTGTTCCCAACAGCAACGCTCAAGGGGACGCGGGCAGAGGGGACAATTGGCTTTAGAGTCCTTGGTGCCACCATGAGAGGGTGGTGCAGGATAAAATCCAAAGGAAAAGGGCCTGTGTCCCCATCTGGGAGCTGGGAAAAACCTTAGGAGTGGGGCTGGGGCGCAGACAAAGCCCTGACTGCATTTTGCTGGGATGCATAGGGGATGTGGTGCTCCCCCCGCACCCCTGTGCCCCGTGGGGCCGCGCTCCTGGCTCCCTGGGACCGGTGGCTGGGATCGCTCCCACGGCCGGGGAGCGGCGGAGGTGGCGGCTCAGCCTCCGGAGGCAGGAAGTCGGCA